ATCTCTCCCCCCCTCTTTCCACCCCAAGATGGCATGTAATTTGATATAGGCTCTACATATACATTCATATTAAACCTATTTTCACATTAGTCATGTTGTGAAGAAGAATTAGAAACAATGGGAGAAACCATGAGAACGAAGAAACAAAAAAAAAAAAACAAGAGAAAGAGCAAATAATATGCTTCGATCTGCATTGAGACTCCATAGTTCTTTTTCTGGATGTGGACAGCATTTTCCATCATGAGTCATTTGAAGTTGTCTTAGATCCATGCATTGCTGAGAAGGGATAAGTCTATCAAAGTTAGTCATCACACAGTGTGGCTGTTATTGTGTACAATGTTCTCCCCGTTCTGCTCTCTTCACTTGGCATCAGACCATATAGGTCTTTCCAGGTTTTTCCGAAGTCTGCCTGCTTATCATTTCTTATAGCACAATAGTATTCCATTACATTCATATACCACAGCTTGTTCAGCCATTCCCCAATTGATGGACATCCCCTCAATTTCCAATTCTTTGCCACCACAACCTCCATATTTCTCTAAAGAAAATTTACTGGATCTCTTCTTTGCTTCATTATATCCTGCTTTGGATTATACTATTCATGTACATGTCGTGTCCCCTTTATTAGATAATTTCTCTGAGGGCAGTTATTGTTCAGATCTTTTCAGTCATGTCCTGATTCTCTGACCCTATTTGGAGTTTTTTTGGCAAAGATACTGGAGTGGTTTGCCATTTCCTTCTCCAGCTCTTTTTACAAATGAAGAAACTGAGGCAAACAGGGTTAAGTGACTTGCCTAGGGTCACACAGCTAGTAAATGTCTGAGGCCAGATTTGAATGCAGGAAGAAGAGACTTCCTGACTTCAGGCCCAGCACTATGAGGATGGACACTCTGCAATTCTTCATCTTTGTATCCCTGGCACCTAGCACTTGTAGACTTGTACCTACTGGGCCTTTGATAAATGTCTGCTGTTTTGGGCTGACTCTAACAACGTGTGCCTTTCGAAAAAGCTAATACTTTAAAAGTCAGACCTCAGTGGGTACCAACACTCTGAGCCAGAGGAGTAATGTGACCTAATTCACTGGGTCCCTTCCTCCAGCAATACTAATCTCAACTTCTTCATGAATTCTCACCATTTCCATTTTGTGTCTATATCCTTCTGTTATTCTTACATAGAGAGGGATGGGAAAGAAGAGAAGGAAATAAACATTTTATAGCACCTACTGTGTGGCAGCTAGATGGTGCCAAGGATAGAGTACTGGGCCTGGAGTCAGGCAGTCTCATCTTCCTGAGTTCAAATCCAGCCTAAGACACTGGGTATCTGTGTGACCCTGGGAAAGTCACTTAATCCTGTTTGCCTCAGTTTCCTTATCTGTAAAATTAGCAAGAGAAGGAAATGGCAAACCACTCCAGCATCTTTACCAAGAAAACCCCAAATGGGGTCATAAAAAGTCAGACATGACTAAACAATAACAACTGGGTTCCAGTAAAGCTAAGTGCTTTACAAATATCTCATTTGATCCTCGCCACAATCCTATGACCGTGGGTAGTACTGGTTGACAATTTGATGACACTTTAAAGTTTGAAAAGATCATTTTATCTATATAACCTCTACTGAGCTTCATCACAACCCCGCGAGAGATTATTACAGGTGTAACCTCCATTTTACAACATGGAAACCCAGTCTCGGGAAGGATGACACACACAGAGCTATGAAGTGTCAGAAGGTTTGAACGCGGCAGTTCTTACTTAAAGCCCAGCATTCTATCTACTATGGCATGCTGCCTCTCAAGGAGAAGTAAACAATGCTCTGGAATCTTTGCTCCAGGGTAACACTTGTTCAATGTACATATTGCTTTTGCTGCATGACCCACTCAATGACCTCCTTTTCTAGTCAGATTTTATCCTTGATAATAGTAGTATGATGCAAAAAACTTACACCAGGATGCATTTTCTTTATTGCCCTTTGGGTCACCCGTAATTTTGATTCTTTTGAGATTGTGGTTCATAGTGACGACCATGATTCATAGCTATATAGACTCACTGGGAAAAATGGCGGTCTTAAAATACTGGGCTTTTGTAGGAGAGTACAGCTTGAAGCTGACGGAATCACCCTGCATTCCTATGGCTGTGGTGACGTGTGAAAAATTGCACTCTAGAATGTAAAGAATTGGAAACGTTAAATTGACCCATGAAGTCTTGAGAGACTTTTCAAACTTTAAAGTGCCGCAACAAATGTCAGTTAGTATTACCCGCCTCACGGGATTGTGGTGAGGATCAAATGAGATAATGTTTGTAAAGTGTTTCCAAGGCTACTCCTGCATTTGTAATACCTAGACTGAAAGGTGACTTGTCCACCATCACGTAGAATCAGAATTCAAACCCAAGTCCTCTTAACTCCAATTCCAATGCTCTTTCCCGTCCAGAGGTAGCTAGGCAGAGTGGGTGGAGTTCTGACTCTTGGGTCAGGAAGACCTAAATTCAAATCTGGCCTGAGACATTTGCTGTGTGACCTTGGGCAAGTTACTTAGCCACTGTTTGCCTCACTTTCCTCACCTATAAAATGGAGATAATGACACTTCACAAGACTGTTGTGAGGACAACATAAAATAAATATAAAGTGTTTAGCACATAGTAGGCACTATATAAAAGCTTGTTAAATATAAATCTAAATCTGTATGCCATCCCCAGTGAATCATAGGAGTAATTAAACTATTATAAAAATAATAATGATCTTCATCCTGTGGGCTAGATGGAAATGCAATATTTTATGTAGCCTTGGATCTTTGATAATTCTCTGTAGATATTCCTCATTGAATTGGTAGATTTTTTTTTTCAAATACAGTTTTGGATCTCCATGGTCATTGTGATAGCTGCTTAGGAATAGGAGATCAAAGTATACAAGCTTTGTTATGGTTCAATACAGATTCACAAATAGCTTTTGAAAATCACTAGGTCCTTGGACCTGGAGAAAAGTTTTAAAAAGCACACCTCCCTCCCTTATTTTGCAAAGAAAAGCTAAGGATGTGCAGCCAAGGATGTAGGATATTGCACATATACTTGAATAACAATATGCTGTTGACTGGTTTTGCTGAATTGTCTTTTTTTAGTTTTAATTTTTTTGTTGTTGTTATACAGGATAATTCAATGGGTAGGGAAGGGACACATTCAGGAATGAATGTGATTTAAAAACGAAAGATTTCAATACACAGCTTCTAGGAGAAAATCATGCCCATACAAATTCTCTTTGAGTATTAAAAATTGCATCAGCCCTCAGTTTTCACTCAGTTTTACTTTGACCCGTATCTTTTGATCCCAGCTCTCCCCCTTTCATCATTCGACTAAGAAAAAAGCTTCTTTCTATGATGAGACCCTGAATTTCCTCATAGAGCAGGTGATCGTGAAAAGAAAAGCAAATTATCTTAAATTTCTTCAATGCTTCATATTTTGTTCATGGGATTTTGACATTTCTTTTTTCATTCTCCAACTTGCTTTCTTTTCCTTCCAATCAATTAATAAATGGATTTTTTTTCCTTGTGGAATAAAAGCACTACCTCAAATTTACAGATAATACAAAACTATTTACCCTTCACCGTCAACAACTTGCAGTTTAGAAGTTGATAAGTAGACAGTTGGAAGGAAAGTGGGGAGAGCTGCAGGTTTGGGGGAAAAGCCTCAGGTTTCATCAGAGGAAAGAGGATGCTGAAGAAGGCAACTGTAGGAAGCTAGAGGGGAAAATGCTTCTTTCTTTACCATTGTTTTTGCTGACTGCACGGTGACTCATGCACATAGCTATTAACTATTATTCAGTACACCTTTATGTAGCACCTACTGTGTGTCAGGTACTGGGGAACAGACGCCAGAAGATAAAACCTTCTCTACTCTCAGGTTGGTACCAGGGGCCATGGAGAATCAAATTTCTCTTCTAAATTCTCCCACTTCAACAAGGGTATTTATAGAGCATCGCTGAAGATCAAAGGCTTTCTGGAACACTGCCTTTGTGGACAATGTCTATTTTCACAATGACGTATAAACCTGGAAGAGTGGCCTACCTGCTGACGATGAGTTATTCTTGTTATTATAGGCAGTTCTGTCCTGTGATTCATGGGGGATGTTAAAAAGGGAATGGCATAGCAAAAAGAACTTGGGGTTAAAAGTGAAGAAGACCTAGGTGTGAATCCTGACTATATGCTTCAGTTTCCTCATCTATATTACAAATGGTTCTTTCCAACTCTAGATCCCAGCCTCCTAAAATAACAATAACAACGTCAGCAGTTGCATCCATAGAGTTTAAGGCTTGCAAAGTGTTTGAATAATCACTTACGTAGCACTTACTATGTTTCAAGCACCGAGCTTAGCACTTGACAATTATTATCTCATTTGAGTCTCTTAACAACCCAGGGAGGTAGGTGACAGTTAGTAATCCTATTTTACAGTTCAGGAAACTGAGGCAGACAGGGTAAGTGAATTGCCCAGGATCTAGTAAGTAACTGCAGTCAGATTTGAATTCAAGTCTTCTTGGGTCTAGGTCCATCACTCTATCCACTGACCACCTAGCTGACAGTCAGAGAGACAATTTATGTCCTTTTTATCGCCATAGATAACTTAAGTAGAACCCACATTGCAATGGGATGGGAGATATATTTACTTTAAAATTGACCATTTGAGTTTATAGATTCAAAGGCACAAATTATCTAGCAAGGCCCCATGGAGAAGATTTGGGCTTCAAATGATAGAACTTGGCAAAGTAGAGTAGAAAGGGAGAAATAGGCCAACTGGAATGTTATTGCTAGATATGCATACTCCCATAAAATATGTATGTCATTAGCATTTTGGAGCCAAAGTATATTTCACAGAAGTTAGCCCCTTTTCCCATCATTCCCACATTTTATGATTGGCAATCATGATTCAGGTCCTCCTAATGCATTTTCATTTGCTGGTGCTCAATATCCTTCCTGGAGTCCTGTAAATATCATAAATCAACTATGTTCCTCATTACAGAGTCTGTAATTCCGAGCAGTGGAACATTTCATGTGAAGCTGCCCAAGAAGCACAGTGTGGAGCTTGGAATCACCATAAGTTGTAAGTAAACCCAGTTCTTTGAACTTGTTTGATCAGAGCCAGAAAAAAGGAATCACCTCATTTTCCAAGGGCTTTACAGGTGTTGCAAGTCGTACATATTGGAAGATCACCAACAGTTTTCTGTATTGGTAGGCAGTAGATATATGCAAGGTTTGTTACTGTTTAATAGAGCTATATAAATGTTTTTTTGGAAATCACCAGGCCAACAGAAATTCTGGTTAAGTAGCAAAAATTGCATTGGCCCCACATTTATTTGCTTCTGTCTTTCCAACCTAGGTATCCTACTTGCCATGCCCCTCACAGAGAAAGCATCTCTTTGTGACAAATGGACCCTGAATTCCTTCACAACATAAATGATCATGAAAATCCAACAGATATGAGGAACAAAGCACTTTAAATTCCTGTAATGTCCCCATTTCCTTTAGACTCTGAACACATAGCTCTCTTACTAAAACACTTTTGAGAATTCTGTATCTCAGTAGAGTTATAGAGATTGAGCATCTGATCCTCTGGGCTTTGAATGCCAATAAACAGAGTTAACCAAAGAGGACAGTAGGAAATTCAGTCATGGAAAGCAGATGAGGAAAATGCTCTGGCCATTGTTAGGCAATGCCTCTGCTTAAAAAGTAATCCTATCTAGACTACATAAAAGTGTAAGCTGGAGCATGGTGAGAAGAAATAATTAAAAATTCTCCATTATGGAAAATAAACCAAGGCTGAATAGACAATTCGACCTTGAGAAAATAACAATGTTAACTAAGGTTGGAGACAAAGTGGTGAAATGGAAACTCTACACATATGAGTTTAAAAAAAAATAATTCAGCATTGGAAAAGAATGATTGATTCTACAGTTCTATAAAGAACTCCAGAAAGTTAATTCAAAAAGAATTTATTATGTACTAGAGATACAAAATAAGGGGAAAAGACAGTCTCCACCCTCTAGGAGCTCATGGTCTAATGGAGGAACTCAAAGTCTAGTCAAGTCAATAAGCATTTATTAAGTACCTACTATATGCTAGTCATTGTGCTAAATACTAGAAATACAAATAAAGACAAAAACAGTGCCCCCTCAAAGAACTTAAAGTCTAATAGAAACAGCTCAAAGCGCAGTCTAATGCAAAGGATCATGTGCAAACTAGATATACATACAGGCTGAATTGGAAATAATCTCAGAGGAAAGGCATTAATTAGCATTAAAGAGAACCAGGAAAGGCTTCATGCAGAAGTTGAGATTTTAGTTGAAACTTGAAAGAAACACAGGAAACCAGGAGGTAGAGAGGAGGGAGATAATTTTTTTGGAGGCAATCGGAGTTAAGTGACTTGTCCAGAGTCACTCAATTAGTAGGTGTCAAGTGATTGATTTAAACTCAAGTCCTCCTTATTCCAGGGCCAGTGCTCTATCCATTTCACCATCTAGCTGCCTGAGGGAGATCGTTTTAAACATGGGGAACAACCAGTAAAAATGCTCATTTGGGAGATAGGAGCATCTTGTGCAAGAATTACAGTTTCATGAAATCTTAGAATATATGGAGAAAGCTGTGGAAGGAAAGAGACCCCAAAGGGTTTTATTAAGGTTTTATTGAAAAAATGTTATTGTATAATTAAAAAAAATATGTAATATAATAGGATTATCAAGGCTTCCATCTGGTCTCACCTCTTCCTGCTGGTTTTAGTTTAGTTCAAAAATTTGACAATTCACTTGGTCCCTTCATCCTTTCACTATGAAACATTAATTACCCTTATAAACATTAGCTTACCTACCTATGAGACTGACTGTAGAGAATATAGAGAAGCCATCTAGTACAACCCCCTTATTTTACATAGGAGGAGACTGAGGCCGAAGGAGATTAAGTGACTTTCAGAAGGTTACACATGGGTGGCAGGATTTGAACCTAGGTCCTCCAGTTCAGAAGCACTGTCCTTTCTACCAAACCATACTGCCACCCTTGGTCAATTTGTCGAAGAGAGATTGCTCACCACTTTAGAAGATTTTGTTTTGTTTGTGTTTTTCAGTAGATAATGGTTATTGAGTGGAGGAACTTCATGATTCTTATATCAAACATTAGCTCCCAGGCTATTTACCCTAATATAATATAAATCAAATTCCTGTTAGGATATAGGACATGAGATCTTCTCCTTTGTTCCTAAATAACAAGTGTTTTAACTGTTGAATTGGCTTGAAGGATTCAATTCAGCTAACATTTTAAAGCATCAAACCTTGATACACTACATAAATCTATGATGATCTTGAAGATGATGATGATGATGATTCCCACTCTTTACTGTGGAAATTTAGTGGATATGCAGGTTTCATATGTCAGAGTTCAGTTACTGAGAGATAGGAAACAGGCTTTAGTATTTACTCTCAAAAACCCCAAAAGACTTATGTACTTGGATATACTTTTAGTTAGAGCTAGTAAGATCTGTCCTTCGGTTAGATGGATCTACTTTTAGTTTGAACGGGTTGGTTTGTTTGTTTGTTTTTTCAGTTGATGTCAGGACAAACTTCCTGACTGTTAGGTTTGGCCCCAAATGGAATGGGTTGACTTGAAAGTACTGGGTTTCCCCTCATTGTTAGTTTTAAGCAAGAGTAGGCCTTGCTAGTATGTTGTAATAGAGATTTTTTTTTCCAGTCATGGGTTAAACTATATGGCTGCCAAAGGTCCTTCTAGCTTTGAAAAATCTGAGAGTCTCAAAGATGTGTGCAGGATGGCTAGCCACACTTGCTCTTGGGTTCTAATAATGTAGGTTTGGGGTTGTTGTTGTTCGTAATTCCCTTTCTGTTCCCATGTCTGCCTTAATATTTACTGAATGACCTAGATTCCCTCTCTCTTCTCCTTGAGAGAGGTGACCATAGCCTTACTGCAAAAGGCTGTTAATCATTTTTGCCTTATGAATCCCTTTGTCAATCCAATGAAGCTTTGGGTCCCTTCTCAGAATGTCTGTTGCTTACATTCATAATTGAAGGAAGTGCTCAATTTCTTAGTGAAAATAAAGATGTCATTTTTTTCCATCCAAGTTTATGGATCTCTTGAATCTATCCATAGACCCCAGGTTCATTAAGACCCTCCCCCCACCACCACCTCAGTGGAGGCTTTAGGTACCTCTTGGGTATGCCTAGATAGTTCTTTCTTGGGAAAAAACTCTGATGGCCTAGTGGGGTGAGATGGCCTCAGCCATAGGAACCCAAATACTCCTTGGCTACCACCATGTGCAACTCCCCTAGATCCACTGTCTTGGGTAACTTTATGTACTTGATGCTAGGGGAATCGTTATGTCTTGGGGTCCCAAACATACACTTAAGGAAGAATAAGGTGGAATTTTAGAGCTGTCATTATATCAGAAATTTAACCAGGGTGATCTCTGAATGTGTCTTATCATTTCAAACTCACCCGGAGCAGAGACTGATTCCTTGAAAAAGTGGGAAATATAGCCACAGGAAGTGAGATTCCAGGGAAGACAGAAATATAACATGCTTCTCTTCCATCTGTCTCACTGTGGATGGGCAGGCAGAGAGTTCACAGACATACAGTCATCAGCTGAACTTCCCATGAAGGAAGGAAGGAAAGCTAGCTAGATATATTAGAAGATTAATAGATAGCTGTGTGTGTGCATGTGCATGAGAGAGAGAGAGATTAGATAAAATAGCTTAGATGGAGATTAGATAAATAAATAGGATAGATTAAATAGTGATTAGGTAAATAGGATGATAGAATAGATTACATAGATTAGATTAGATAGATGGAATAGATTAGAATAATTTGAATAGAGATTAGATAAATAAGATAGATTGAATATTGACTATATAGGATAATAGATGGAATGATTAGATAGATAAAATCAGATTAGATAGATGGAATAGATTAGAATAGCTTGGATAGAAATTAGATAAATAAGACAGATTGAATATTGATTAGATAGGATAATAGATGGAACAAATTAGATAAGATTAGATTAGAAAAATGGAATAGATCAGGATAGCTTGGATAGAAATTAGATTAATACATGAGCTAGATTGAATATTGATTAGATCATAGGATAATAGCTGGAATAGATTAGATATATGAAATTAGATTAGATACATGGAATAGATTAGAATAGCTTGGATAGAAATTAGATAAATAAAATAGATTGAATATCATTAGATAGGATAATAGATGGAATTAATTAGATAAGATTAGATTAGATAAATATAATAGCTAATAAATAATAGCTAAAATCAGATAGATAGGATAGTTTAGAGATTAAATAGATAGGATAGATAAAATAGAGATTAGATAGATTAGATAGAATAGATTAAATGGAGATTAGATAGGATAGATTAGATAGAAATTAGATTAGATAGAATAAATCAGATAAAGATTAGATATGATAGGTTAGATAGATAGACCATATTAGTTATAGAATAGATTAGATGGAAGAAAAGAGAGATTAAATAGCTGGGATAGATTAGTTAGATTTACAGATTAGATAAAATAGAAAAGCATTTATTACCATGTGCCAGGCACAGTGATAAGCACTGGGGATATAGATACAAGGAAGTACAACAATTCCTGTCCTCAGGCACCTTATATTCTAGTGGGAAAAGATAGTATGTAGAAGAAATCTGGGAAGGAGTTGAAAGTGGGGTGGGAGTCCTGTGTGGGGGTAGAGTGAGGAGTGGCTGAGAAGTGGCCTGGAGCCACGGGTCTCACCAAGACAAAGCAAGAGCTCAGTGCTCCCCTAACCAGGGGACAGAGGGCTGGAGTTCAAGATTTTGGTGGGAAGAAGTTGAAGATGGTGGCTGAAGAGCATGGTGAGGAGACCACTGGGAAGTGGTGTGAAGGCCTTGGCCTCAGCAAGATAAGGTTAAATATCACCTGGGACCAGGCAGCCTAGCCCTTCCTCAGCCTTAGAAAATTTACTGGCTCTGACCCTCACCCTACAAACAGCCAAACCTGCCTGAAAGCACCAAGGTTTCCATCTGCTAATGATCCACTAATCAACAATTAGCGCTCTTT